AGAAGTGGTGCCTCGGGGCGCTCCCGGGATCCGAACCCGGGCCGCCAGCATCAGAGCGCGCACACTTAACCGCTAAGCCACGGAGCCGGCCCTCACTAATCTGTTCTTATCTATGTGTTTGTTTATATTTCACATATGAGTGAAATCATGCAGTATTTGTCCTTCTCGGACTTGTTTCGCTTAACATAATACCCTCAAGGTCCATCTATGTTGTCGCATGGCACAATTTTGTCTTTTTTAATGGCTGAGTAGTATTCCACTGTATATATATATCTCACATCTTCTTTATCCGTTCATTCATTGATGGGCACTTAGATTGCTTCCACATCTTGGCTGTTGTGAATAGTGCTGTGGTGAACATAGGGGTGCATAAGTCTCTCTGAATTGTTGATGTCATGTTCTTTGGATAAATACCCGGTAGTGGGATAGCTGTATCATATGGTATTTCTATTTTTAATTTCTTTTGTGTGTGTGTGTGAGCAAGACTAGCCCTGAGCTAACATCCGATGCCAATCCTCCTTTTTTTGCTGAGGAAGATTGGTCCTGGGCTAACATCCCTGCCCATCTTCCTCCACTTTATATGGGACACCGCCATAGCATGGCTTGACAAGCGTTGGTGTGCGCCTGGGATCTGAATCTGCAAACCCCAGGCCGCCGCAGTGGAGCGTGCGCACTTAACCACTGTGCCACCGGGCCGGCCCCTGTTTTTAATTTTTTGAAAAATTTCCATACTGTTTTCCATAGTGGCTGCAGTTTGCATTCTCATCAGCAGTGTGTGAGGGTTCCCTTTTCTCCACATCCTGTCCAACACTTGTTATTTCTTGTCTTTATAGTTACAGCCATTCTGACAGGTGTGAGGTGATATCTCATTGTAGTTTGATTTGCATTTCTCTGGTAGTTAGTGACGTTGAACATCTTTTTATATGCCTGTTGGCCATCTGTATATCTTCTTTGGAAAAATGTCCATTCACATCCTCTGCCCATTTTTTGTTCGGGTTGTTCATTTTTTTGTTGTTGAGTTGTATGAGTTCTTGATATATTTTGGAAATTAACCTCTTGTCGGATATGTGATTTGCAAATATTTTCTCCCAGTTGGTGGGTTGTCATTTCGTTTTGTTGATGGTTTCTTTTGCTGTGCAGAAGCTTTTTAGTCTGATGTAGTTCCATTTGTTTATTTTTTGTTTTGTTTCCCTTGTCTGAGTAGACATGGTATTCAAAAAGATACTGCTAAGACCAATGTCAAAGAGTGTACTGCCTGTATTTTCTTATGAGAGTTTGGTGGTTTCAGGTCTTAACATTAAAGTCTTTAATCCTTTTTGAGTTAATTTTTGTGTATGGTGTAAGATAATGTTCTATTTTCATTCTTTTGTATGTGGCTGTCCAGTTTTCCCAGCACCACTTGTTGAAGTGACTTTCCTTTCTCCATTGTATGTTCGTAGCTCCTTTGTCGAAGATTAACTGTCCATAGACGTGTGGTTTTTTTCCTGGGCCCTCAGTTCTGTTCCATTGATCTGTGTGTCTGTTTTTCTGCTAACACCATGCTGTTTTGATTACTGTAGCTTTGTAGTATAATTTGAATTCTGGGAGTGTGATACCTCCTACTTTGTTCTTTTTTCTTAGGATTGCTTTGGCTATCTTTTGTTGTTCCATATAAATTTTAGGATTCTTTGTTCTTTTTCCATGAAGAATGTCATTGAAATTCTGATTGAGATTGCATTGAATCTGTAGATTGCTTTAGGTTGTATGGACATTTTAAGTATGTTTATTTTTCCAATCCATGAGCATGGAGTATCTTCCTATATCTTTATGTCATCTTCAATTTTTTTCAATACTGTGTTATAGCTTTCAGTGTATAGGTCTTTCACCTCCTTGGTTAAATTGATTTCTTGTTATTTTATTCCTTGTTGTGATTGTAAATGAGACCGTTTTC